CAAGTTACGATTCCACTTATATGTTTGATTTGTAAAGACAAACTTAAGTGGAATAAAGAAATTGAAGTATCTTTTGAAGCTTTAAAGATATTATTTATTTTTGCACCAATTTTTTATTATATTTGATTTTTTTAAGGATTTTTTTATAAAAACATACGCTTCAAATTTTGCTATGGATGTTCTTTTGTTACAAATAGAAGCAAATGGAAAGCTTCATTTGATAGCTTTTTATTTTAGGAAAATTTCAACAGCTAAGATTAACTACAAGATTTATAATAAAGAATTCCTTGTAATCATGAATTTATTTTAAGAATGGAAAAGTTATCTAAAAGAAATTTCTAATCTAGGCACCATATATATAAATCATAAGAACCTCAAGTATTTTATGTTAGGACATATTTTAAATTGTCACTATATTTGTTGGAGCATGTTTTTATCAAGATTTGATTTCAAGATCACTTATCAACTCAAAAAACAATAATGTATATCAAATATTCTTTAGATGTTTTTATCTTGTATCAAAAGAAAGAGATGCAGCTTTTGATCAACAAAAAATAATTCTCTTGAAATAAAAGTATTTTCATCTTCAAGCAATGAAATCAACATTGATTGTTGACTCAACATTTGTTAAGAAAATTCAATCAAGTATGTCCTTTGATCCTCTTATTCATAATATCAAGAATACTTCTTCTAAATCTCATGATAATTTTAAGTTTGAGTTCAAGAATAATCTATTCTATCTTGAGGATTGCTTATATATTCTACAAAAAAAAATGGACGTTTGCATGTTCTTCAAGCTTGTCATGACTTTGTAACAACCACACATTTAAGATACAATAAGGCTTTGGAACTAATATCTAGAGATTTTTAATGGCTTCAAATGTGAAAGATAGTCAAAAACTTTGTATAATAATGTGATATTTGTTCAAGATTCAAAACTCCTTGTAATCAACTTCATGGACTTTTTCAACTATTACCTATTTCGAAACATCTATGGTCTTCTGTTTTTATGGATTTTATTATGGATATTCTAGTCTTAGGTTCATATGATTCTATATTCATGATAGTAGATTATTTTACTAAGATGGCACATTTTGTATAATATAAAAAATCTATCATAGGTGAAAAAATGAATAAGCTTTTTTTTGACAATATCTAACACTATCATGGATTGCCTAAGAATGTTATATTGGATATGAAGATTTAATTTATATCAAGATTTTGGAGAATCTTTTTAAGATTTTAAAGGTATATATAAAATTCTCTTTGATTTTTCATTCTCAAATTGATAAACAAACAAAACAAGTGAATCAAATTCTAGAGCAGTATTTGAGGTGTATCATTAACAATTATCAAGATGATTGGATAATTCTTTTATCAATAACAAATTTTACATTTAATAATTTAGTACATTCTTTTGTTCAACAAACACCTTTCTTTATTAATTTTGGTTATTATCTATGACTTGATACTTTTGACTTTTTAAAAGTTGATAATCTTGTGGCAAAAGATTTGGCAAATCATCCATCAAAGCTACATATAATATTGAATGCATAGTTAAAAAGAGCTCAAGAATAAAAATAGATTAATACAGATGCCTATTGCAAAGAACAACTATAATTCACCATGAAAGATAAGATATTATTACTTTGTTGCAATATCAAGACTACTCATTCTTGTAACAAATTGGACTATTGTAAGCTTATACCTTTTCTTATTTGAGAATAAAACAATCCTATTACTTATCAATTACACCTATTAGAGTCTATGAAGATTCATCTCATATTCCATATGTCTCTTCTTGAGCCATATAAGATAGTGAATATCTTAGGAAGAAGACAAATGCCACTTCCTCTTAAAGAAATGAATAATAATTAAATATTTGAGGTAGAAAAAGTCTTAGATTCAAGGTGGCACCAAAATAGGTTGAAATATCTTGTTTATTGGCGTGGATATGATATTAATGAACATATATGGAAGCTAGAAAAAAAACTTATAAATGCAGCAAAGAAGGTTGAGACTTTTCATCAATGACATCTATTAAAATCAAAATAAAGAATAGAAAGATTAATAAAAGATGATGAATGCTCCTTATAGAATTCATCTCTAGAACAAGAGGTAATGTCACAAACATACATATTTATTTCAATAATTATCTATATGATTTGATAGAAGTAGATAAAAATAAATTAATTTTATAATATCTTTTAGAATAGCTTTGTAGAAGCTTCATAGATGTGATTTTGACTTTAATTGTGTTTATAGTTTTTGATAGCTTAGAAACTTGGTCAATAAGTGAACCACATGTCACATGTACTAGTAGCTTGTAGGACAAGTTAATTACATGGTGCACATATAGAAAACTTACCTTGCAAATTAAAACATGTATATAGCAAAATCAACATGTGTTGGAGGTCTTATAAAACATTGTCATGTAGTTTTTACTTAGATAGTATATATGGAGACAAGAATAAAGCCTTCTTTATTCTTGTCAATACCTTTCTAGTACTTAGTCTTATTTCAAGACTTTTTAGTCTTCTTGTCTTTGGCAATAGTTATTCTAGCTTAATATTATATCATCTTTGAGTAATTATCTAGTCTTTTTAAGTAACACAAGAGTATATTGATCTTCAATCTTTTAAGTTTCATGTCTTTGACAGTTATATAGCTTCTTTAAAAAGAAGAAGCCATAAATTGATAGTGGCTAAAGTGTAATGGCATCAATTTTTTTTTTAAATTACTTTTTTATTGAAATAATTAATTAATTAATTAAATATTTAAGACTTGAGATTTAGAAATGAAATTCAAGATTTAAGATTTAAAACTAGCATACGATTTAAGATTTTAGAAAATAAAAACCTTCTTTAAAAAAAAATATAAAGGCCCTTAAAGAAGGTTTTTTTCTTATAGTTGTACTATGGACTTATAATACATATTTTTTTAATAAATTAAAGAGCAAGAAAATTTATGAAGGACTTAAATTTTATTGAATGTTTCTTGTTTTGAAAGTATTTAGAAGAAGATAGAGCAATTAATAGCAGCTTGAAGCCCTGTGCTTTCTTAAGGTAAGTTTCTATCTCTACAAAAATGTGAAAATGTTAGAAGTAATATAAGAATTTATTTTATTTGTAGAAAACCATGACACTTTATACAAAATTACTATAAGGCCAAGAGAAGAGATAGAAAAAATACTAAAATTACATATAACAAATATAGAGGTGATGATTTTATATTTATGGCAAATAAAAGCACATCCATGCTTATTATATCTATGTAGATTTTTAATTTGGATGCCATTAAGCACATGATTCTATAAAAGTATTTTTTTGATACTTATGAAAAGATTTCACCAATAAAAGTTTTAATAGGAGTCACTGGTATATTACAAGCTATTGAAATTGACTTCATTTTCATTGAGATTGTTGTGATAGGACAAATCAAGAGGATCAAATTAAAGGAGGTCATGTATATATCCAAGATTTAAAAAAAAAAAAAAAAAAAAAAAAAAAACCTATTTTTTGTGAGTAAATTTTTTCACATGGTTTTAATATGCAATTTAATATGAATGAATATTTTGTGAAGACATTGGATAAAGGTGATATTACTATATATTTTAGAGATGGTAACATGTACTTCAATAATTATAAAAAAATAAATAGAGTTGAAATAACAACATTTGTTGAGTTTCTACAAGATCAAGATAAGTTGTCATTTTGCATTGATACCTTGGTCATTTAAATGCCAAAAGCATGAAAAAACTCCAATCTATGATAAATAACTTGGATCTTAATCAATCATAAAATAATGCCATGCTTCTTACTTATGAAGATTGAATTTAAGGCAAACAACAAAAGACTTTATTTCCAAGTGGAGTTGCAATATATGCAAGCAAGTTGGAGATTTTTCTTTTTGATATTTGTAGACTTATGAGGACATTGCCAATAGGAGGAGTAATATACTTAGTCACATTTATTGATGATTTTTCAAAGAAAGTAAGGATTTTAATCCTTAAAACCAAAAAGAGTGTTTTTTAAGGTTTAAGGAATTTAAATCACTTGAGTAGAAGTAATATGTATGCAAAATTAAGCTATTGTGTACAAACAATGAAGGTAAGTATTTGTCAAAGTAATTCAATGATTTCTTGAAGATTCAAAGTATCCATAGTATTCTTCATTTTATTTTTATTTATTCTTTAATACTTTATTACAATATAAAGAATTTAATATTAGATTGTAATGAGATTTTTGTGAGATCTAACAAAAAAAATCAATTAAAATTAATAAGACTGAGATTTTGTATAATTACAAGAAAATAATGTATTATTGAAAATTCAAAGAAGATAGAAAGAAAAGAAAAATAAAATCTTGTAGTATTTTAGAAACAAAATTTAACTTATTGAATTTATGTACTTATTAATGATTTAAGCATTTGATGTAACATAAAATAAATAAATAAATAAATAAATAAATAAGTATGTATTAAAGTGGTAGCTATAATAGTAATAATAATAATACAAATTGATATGTTTTTTAATTCATCAAATAATTAGAACTATTTTGTAAATCAATTTTAACTATTAAAATCCAAGCTATAAAAATGCAATATTTATTTTTATTTTGATAGAGAATGAAGTGTAAAAAGTAATTATTGAATTTTGATATTAATAAGTCAAGAAATTTAAAAAATCATGATTATATATTACTCTTTTATGAGTTGTTGAATCATTGAAATGAGATTGGATTAAGTTCAATGAATAAAGACTGAGATCTATTGTTGAATCACAAGGATGGCCCAGTACAAATACTCTCCTCATTAATAGTGTGGTTGAAACCTTTGATAGTAAAAAAAAAAAAAAAAAAAAAACCATCTTCACCCTAATAACCAAAAATGATGAATATTTATAATAATCCAAATCAAAAAATTTAACAGATCTAAAATAAATTTTGTGTGATTGCTTACTTTAGTGACTCAATAATGATTAAAGTAGTTCAAAGATGATGTACTTAAGTCAAAACCCATACAACACATATTTATATATTGTAATATGCTACAATCATTGCCTGAGTGTGAGACAACATCACGGTTCATGGCTCGCATTGCTAAGCCATGCTAAGAGGCCAGAGAGGGGGAGAGGAGGGACTGAGTTGTGTAAACATAAGATCTAAGGTTTGTGAGAGATGATAAGGTCACTACAGCAGATTCTATAGTAACGTGAGCCATGAACAGTGGCACTCCATGTTAAGTAAAAATTTTAAAAAAAAGGGAGTTGGGGGGGGGGGGGCATACTGTACAGTGATTGGTTTACATGTTGACGATGGCAGTTGATTGAATCCAAATTGAGCCTTCCTATTTGGACTGCCGCGCGCACATCAACAGCTCTGAAGCAATAATAGCAATGTAAAACACGGGACCAATTTCTAGTAACTAGTGCCCACTTACCTGTGATTTCTTTGCACTACATCCTTGCTCTAACTGTGAATGGCGGTTACAAGAGAGTAAACTCAATTGTGTAGCCATTCGCAAGCTGATCAGGATTCTAAGAAGAAAAAAAGAACGGAAACTCGTCATGCTCAAGAGGAATCTACAAAACTGATGAACCTGCTTGATGAAGTCCATCCGAAGACACCAACTCCAAATGCCTTCACTCAGTGTCCAGTCTGAATACATGAATATGTTGAGTCGAAATGCGAACATCGCAAATATGGATATCTTAGTCAACGAAACGGAAACTACGCAGCCAAAGCTGCCGGAAGAGTTGCTCCATTTTTTTTTGTATATGAGCCGAATTTATCCACTCCTGCAGCCGCGTACACGAAAGCTTCAGCCGAGTTCGGCTTTGGACTGTCGAACGAAAAACTTTCTTCAAGTACCTCAGAAACAGTTCGATCTTCTTCATGAACTGCATGTTTGGGAGATCCCAGGTTTGAGCTACTTCTTGAGCTGCCTTCGATAGAGCCTTGGCCACGGCGGGCTGACCCACTACTGCGCCTAGAGCCAAGGAACTTTAATTTTGACCATATTGAGGTATTGATGACCAGCTCAGAGTTCATAGAGGACGATGAATCAGAGGAAGAGTCAGAGCACTGTGAGGTAATAGATCCTGTTTTCTGAAGCCCCTGGCCAAAGAGAGAAACGGTCTCGACTCTGCGACCGTCACTACGGAGTCGTAGAATGTGGCAGGAGAGATTCTCCTCGTAATACTTCCTGTTCTTCATTGCATTTCTGTAACATAAGGTATCATTAGAATCTCAATTCGAAGCAGGAATTCACACACGTAGTTCGTGTAAAGACCAAATGGAGATATTAAAAAGCTCAAAACCCACAATAGAGAACAGAAATCAGTGAAGTGAGTTTCTGTTCATCGTCTACGTGGATTTCATAGATGCTAGAGCGTAAAAATTAGGATACCTGTCAAAGATCGCAGTTGTGGCTTGAAAATCTACAATTTCCTTCGTAACTAGTGCTTTCGAATTTGATCCTGGCAACACTTTGATATCCAAATGGATCTGGAACCCACAATTGAACACACCAGTTACAGGCAGAAGAAAATGACACACAATCCACCAACAATAACTACAACATTGATCCTGATACATTAAAAGTCAACACAGTTGGCTTCCAGACTACTGCACATAAAAACTCTCATTTAATTCTACTACTAAAGACCTATTACTTAGCGAGGTGACCGCAAAAAAATATTCATCGTCCAAAGAAATAGACGAATATAAGTATAATCACCTTCTTCACTTGACACACTTGCAAACGAAGGGTGTCTTTTAGCTTGTTTTCTATGTCATTTCTCTTCATAGTAACTGCTTGTCGGAGGACTGATTCATTGACTCCACTGAACTGCTGCAGATCTGCCACCATCCTCATACCCACTGCAAGCGCAAGATATGCATGACACTGTCAACAAAATGCTTAAAATCTCCAGCAACTCTACCCATTGTACACATCCTCTTTCACCTCCCAAAATGGAACAAATTCCAACTTCAGTAGATCACATTTTCAGACTCGAGGAAGGCGGTCGCAGAGTCAGGGTGTTATTGTCCCAACAATTTGACTAGAAACTTCCCAAGATCGTCTATCCACATGAATATTTCCTCATTTCACAGCAAGAGGATGCACAAGCATTAAACATAGATAGCAGTAAAGAGACGAAGTTGGCTTTGTGGAACCTAAAAGTCAGGACACCGAGTGCGAGTGACTCACTGGGGCTCAGGATGTGTTCCAAAAATGCTACCACGAGAATAACGTCGCCTTCAGACGTCGCATACCCATTGAGTGCAATGTCCACGGCTGCGGTTGTGAATTTGTGTGCTCCATCATACACCACTGCCACTTTGCTGGGCATTTTTGCTCTGGAGTCAATCGATTGCACATCCTCTTTCTTCTTCACGTCCTCTTCTCGCAGAGTTCCTAGAGGCTTGATCTCCGCACAATTCCCAATAGAGTTACTACGAGTGGTAGTTTTTTCAGGTGCATTATTGCTGGAGGTGGGTAACGGTTGCTTGTCAGTGACGAAAATGTTTGCGTGCTGCCTAGGAGGACTGTAGATCACTGAGTCATCTTCTTCTTGCGGCTTCTCTCGATCTTGGTCGACGAGATACTTGAATGATTGCATCGGGTACAAAATAAACGCATCGTTGATAGAATCTGACGAGCGTGTAGGTGCACTGGGAGTCTCAAATTGGCTTGGATCGGGTAGCGGGTAAGCCTTGATCTCAGCATTGAAGGTCGTCTGCCGTAGAGTGCGGCGCGACTTAGAGAGTGAATTTACAGGACTTTTCTCACGACTGTCAACTAATCTACCTCCGTTTGTTGCAAAGCGGGAGCGCGAATTTAAGTTTCCAAAATTTTCCAGGGGAAGGTCTAGGTGGCCACCGCTGGACTGCGTAAAGCTATGACCTCTGAATGGATCCGCCATAATTTCGAAAAATGCAGCACCGAGCGGACTAACGCATAAAAATATCTAATAATCAAGTGCGAGTATCAGAAAAAATTTACACTCCTGCAAGTGGCGTCAAAGAAAGGTGATAAGAGTTGCGGCTGTTTCCACAGTGATGACTGAGGAACCGCTTCTGCAGCCTCCACGGTTCCATGTTCTAAAACAACCCAAAATTCTACAGACAAGAAAGGACCCACGGAAATGGTCCAACCAAAAAACAAGAAATCTTCGGAACTGTCAGCCTAACGTGCGCGCTTCACTTTTCACGACACAGAACTTGCGCTCGGGAGATATAACAACCAGAAAGTGCGTAGAAGTCCTACACCTCCCAGTTCGGAATTCTGCAGGCGCATATCAAATCTCTGGGCAGAAGATAGCAGCCATCAAATTCAGGAACAATTGTGCCACTCATTCCAATTATTCCGAACACCCAATTCTTCATAAACAGCCTAACACTACGCCATTAAGCATACACCAAGCTCTTCGCCCTCAGTGCTCTCCTAAACCAAAGCGCCTCTCGGCTTCCTGCCTCATTTGCTTCGTACCGCCAACCCAACTCCCCAAGAAAAAAAACTTTAAAAAAAAAACAAAACAAACAAACAAACAAACAAACAAAAACAAAAACAAAATCAGAGCATGTCACTCTAAAACATCTCAAACTCAGCTCCACTCGCACAACCTTGGGAGACCGAACCCTCAGAGAGACTACAATGGTGAGCTCCACTCCAGAGTCCACGCTCTTCCACGCACTTGAAAACCAACCTGCACACACACACCGACATAAGAAGGGGGAAAAATAAAAAGTGTCCCCAACTTACTCGGAAATCTTCACGAAAGCTTTGCCTAACCCCAGAAATGGTTAAAAGACGCAAGATGTAATCAAAATGCACACACAGCAGAGAAGCACCTCCGACATCAGTGTCGGCAAAATAAAACCAAAAACAAAAAAAAAAAAAAGACCCCCCACCTGTGCACAAGTAGGCTTCTCTCTCTCGCAGTCGGTCCCCGATTCAAAGATTCATCCCTCTACGTGATGGTGTTCATTCATTCACATCCATGTTCATCTCAATCAAATAATGGCGGAGGCCTGCATACGTCGGAATGTGGAAGCAACAAGAGCGTGGCGGTTGGATGGATGGATGAATGAATGGGTAAGTGTGTTTGTGGATGATCTTTTCCACTTTACTTTTCTGAGCCGAGTTGTTCTTGTTGGCTGATACCCGCCTTGTGGAGCAAGTTGCCAGGTCATCCAGTCTGGGGGTGCACTTTCGTGCCAAGTTGGCAAGTTGCCTCTCTGATGGGACTGGATCGCTTCGTATGGATGGATGATAAGTGCGGCTTTGTGGGAGAACGTGGCTGTTCATTCATAAAAACTCATCCATAACATAAACTTCGGGTCCAGGAAATAACAGTTAATGGTTTCAGGAACATTCAGAGTTGTCAAGAGCAATGAAAATTGTTGCCAGCCTTGAAATCCTTGATGACATCAAAATTGAAGAGGCATAGTTCAAGTGCCTCCCTCAATCCATTAGCCATGTGTGCTATAAAATTACCAGGTAGAAGCTCAGCCTTGGCAACATTCTTGTCCTTGGTGGCTCTTGAAACCATGTGCAAAATCTAAGAAAAGGTTAAGGATTCATTGGTGCTTACTTCGTCTTTGTATAAGTTGAAGAGTGACTTCTGCCTTACACACTTTATATACTTACCCACAACATACACTTTGAAGATCACTATGTTGTAGTTCACAAACTCTTGCAACACTATCGAGGGTATCAATTTGTTGAGACTTTGTGTATTGAAGAGCAAAAACATGGCATGAGACTACTGTGCTTCTATCCACCACCATTGACTTGGCAATCATGGAGAAAGTCAATTCGCTTAGAACACTATCATTGTGAAGCATATCCGCACTAATAACTATCAATTGTTTGGAAATGCCGCAAGTTCCGAGACTTGGAGATTTGTAGATGCTCTACAGCTTGAAGCATAGAAATGCAGTTTTGCAAATTCACAATTGTAATGGGAGGGTCTATAATCACCACATCCAAATGCTAATTTTTATATTGCAATAGTTGTTGCGTCCATACCTCCCCTCTATACTTAAATATAATTGCATGGAAAGGCCCGTGCTCCTAAAAGGATTTGTGAAAATCCATGCACACCAAGTTTACACCTTTGCTCTTGGCAAATGCTAGCAGAGAAGGTTTTATAAAGCTCTTATGCTTCTTCTCTGCAAATGCATATCCTACATCAAATATTTCTTCTCCTATGAACATCATTTGCACCAAATTTTAAAGAAAAACACTCAAAACAAACTACAACTAACTCTTAATTATTTTCTACTCATCATTGCTTGCACTTATTGATCCACTTACAAATTTTAACACATTTTCAAAAATTTGTGTGGCACACAAACATCAATAGAAGAGAAGGAGACAAAATATGCTAAAAAAGAAGAAATGTATGAAAACACATCAAAAATGTGCCACATTCTACTAAAATATTGATGGATCTATCTTCCATAAATTCTTAACACCCTCTTCATCATCACAAATGGTTGCTATTTCTAATATGTGTATATATATATATATATATATATATTTATATACATATTAGAAATAAACTATATTGTTTTATATTTAAAAAACCTTAAAAATCCATGAAAACATGAAACTATCATAAAATACAAAGAAGGCTGAAAGACGAGCATATAGGGGATAAAATTGCATTGAAGAATCAGTGTTAGGCATTGGTGTAAGGGGGTCTGTCCTTCTAAACAAACAAACCAGAGAACAATAGTGCACAACATGTAAAAAAAATGATGAGGAAGGGGGGGGGGATTAGGATGGAGGTTGGGATGGGAGACGAGGACTACAAATGGGATCTGCAGGTCGAGATGGAGGATGAGGGTTTGAAACATGAATGGTGGATGGACGTTGGAAACAAGAACATCAAACATAGGTTGAGATGAGAGACAAGGGGTACAATGATGGTTTTGATGGGTGGGTAGATTTAGCCACTTTTGGGGTCAATTTAACATTCTCCTATTGACTGATTTATTTATTTATTTATATACACACACTTATCCATACAGCAAAGATTTCAAGATGTGCAACCTTTCAAGTTGGCAATAAAGACAGCAAAAATAGGAAGCTTCTTCTGTCTAACAGCCAACATCAAAGCAAGAAACTAATATCAATCCACATTAACATACAGTACCATGTCAATTGGCCATCATTCTGCAGAACACACGCCATGCAACACTCCCATTACACACCTGCCGAGAGGAATAAGTTATTTGGGATGCAATTTCTGGATGACTTCCCAATCCGATCTGGCCTTAATTTAAACGAAGTCCTCCACTGTGGATGGAAAAGATGCTTTGGATATACCCCTCAGATCCCCCTTTTGTCGGTATTCTGACCTGGCACGGCTCTTCACTGACTCGCACGTTCCCATACTTTTCTTTATTACTGTAGGCGAAATAATGCTCTTCCCGGGTAAACGTTATATACAACAAAATTAAATTGTGCGCAAATATTGATGAGAAGGAAATAGAATACAAAAATGCTTGCATGGGAATGAGCTACTTTAGTTCTTTGTCTCATCACTAAGTTTAGCTCAGAGAAGAAAATGGTCACGTGCTTATTGAAAACGTCAATGCTGACGGGGCCGTCCATTGGCTTTCCATTGACTGAACTCCGAGGCGTTAGCTCACGTGGCCGCGGTGATGGGATCCCGGGCTGAAGCATAAGGCGGCTTGAATTCCGCGAACGGCTGTTCCGCATGGGTGGAGGGAAAGTAGCGGGTGGCTGGTCCTGTGGCGCGGGTTCCCTCTTGTGTTGTGGGCCGCGGGCCGGGTCCTTTTTCACCAGGTCGGGCGCACAAGTGGGCTGCTGCCATGTGGGACCGACACTTGTCAGAGCCTTATTGGATGTTGCGCTGGGCGTTTTGGGCTTAGGACCACATGTTTTCGACCCATCACCGCTGGGAACACTATCTACGTTCTAAACCACATACGTAGGGTGTTCCATATAGTTTTTTCCTAAATGGAACAAAATAATCCTTACGACTATAACAATTGATCTTTTATCAAAGGTTTTATTTTGTCACATTTTATTTGTTTAAGGGTTTGTGTGCTTGATTTTGTTATGATATCATGTTTTTACATTTTCTTATATCCAAGAATTATGAGAAATATATATAATTATTAGATATGAAATGTTTTAGATATCATGCAGGTTAAGAATGTTGTTTTATTTTATTTTATTTTATTTTATTCCTCAAAGTAATTAGTCCTTAAGTAAAAAATTGAGTGATTTCATAAAACAATTACTATATATATGTATATGTTTATAGTTTGGATTAAGGATTTAATCTATATTTAGATATTATTAGCTGAGATTCAGAAGTAGAGTTTCAGTTTTCTTTTTCTTTTTCTTTTTCTTTTTTGATGTATTCAAAAGTAGATATTAAAGACTAGATGGTTAATAGAACAATTAAAATTGTTAGGTACCTTAATGATATGAAATTTTTGATACAAAATGTCCACACTGTAATTGGGAACAACCATTTTTGTTTCACACTAATTTTGTAAATAAGAAACCAATTTTACTAGATATATATATATATATATATATATATATATATATTACTAGAATCTGTATTATGAATTATATATGCATCAATTTTTAAAGTAAAAAACACATTGGTAGAAAATTCTGCTAAGTAATTGTGAATTCTAAGCAACCATAAAACTTTAAAAAAATATATTGTTTTGGAGTTAGCTATTACAAAAAGAAAAAAAACCCATAATAAATAAATAAAAAGAAGTTTCATATCTCTTAATCCCAATTATTGCAGATATATGCTTTATGCTTTATGCTTCAAGTTGCTAGTCGATGAGGTCGAATCGTCTATGGCACAACACTGTGTATAGTTTCCAGAGTCTTGCTCCTGCTTGACCTAGCGTTCAGGAACTATGGTGCTTGCAACCTGCACGGGCGTGATAATAAGGCTGCTCAACTTTGTGACACTTCGACTTACTGTTTCATCGAAGCTTGTTCCTCGTCTATGCTAGTCACGCTCCATTTACTTCTGTGACGCCCTCAAATAATCATGAAATGGCTGTCGATGTGAGATCTTCCTAATCGGACTCTGGACATCCTCCGAAGTGCTGAAAACTGTGAAGGCTTTCATAGAAAATACGCGTTTGTTGTGCGCTTCGTAGTCCGAATTCCGGCACGTCCTCCTGATGCTCACGCTACAAGCAGCGAATCCATGTCTATATGACCTGTAAACGCTGAAAATGTTGGAGGATCCAGACCTCTGACAAACAAGGTCGATGTTCTGCTAGCTGGCTTCAGTGCAGAATACGACCTTGTGGGTACTGAATACACAAGGCGAACCGAACTTCAGAATCATTCTAAGCACTAAATGAGCAAGTTCCAGGTCGTTCTCTAAGTCAACCCACGATTCCCTCTCTCGTCATATATATACATATTTATATTTATATATATGTTCAAGTCAGACAGCCAAATTCAAGCAAACCTAACATGTTTCAGCAGACACTCTGCGAACAGGCTAATCGAAGTTGATCTCCAGGTTATTCAACTGTAGCGAAGATGGCAGTTGGAGATTCCTACCAAGGAATCTGCTGTTCTAGCTATCGTTTGGTCAGTTACGGCAACCCTGAATCGTTGGGCGCTGATATGTCTACAGTTGCCGGGTCTGTGGAATCAATTGCCATGATTATCTCTAGCTAATATAACCTTAATTGACGTCCTTTAACTCAATTCCTTTCCCGATGTAAATATCCTGTTTATATTGAAGAACGTTGAAACCTAGGTTCTTTAAGTTGCAGGTAGTTTCGAAACGTACACCATTCAAGTTTCTCAAGTTCAAGTGCAATCCATTCATTGTCAACTAGGTTCGAGCACTTATTTGTACTGAGAAATGAGATGCACGAACCTGTTGCATGTCGGGATGATGCGCACTAGTTGCCAATTTTCCATGGACACGCTGCGGAAAACCAGAGCAACCAAACACGCATACCACATCCTCTCCTCTCCACTTCGCTGTGTATTGAGATTTATACTCACTAATTCATACGAGAGATACAGCCTGGTTGAGTTTGAGCTAAAACTCTCAAATGTTTTAACCACATTGTTCGTACCGCTCGATTCTGAAAAACAGAAAGAAAAAAAATCAAATTCCACATAGCTGAGACAGCGGATTTTGAGTTGCAACTCCAACACAAATCAGGAAGATTTCATTTTGACCCGGAGCTCTCCAAGACGAGTTCCAACCCACTTGAAATGTGAAACCAAGTGAAAACTTTACACCTTGACCACGTATACGGATATTAATAATCAAAAAAAAAAAAAAAAAAGGAAAAAAGGGATGCATGTGAGTTGACCATATACACGATTCATAATAGTTACCTGGGCGAGAAAAACTCAATTAATATAAATTAAGAAATAGGGAGATTTGCAAGAAAGAACAGAAAAGAATTTCGCAGTTTGCCCCGAATCAATAATCAACGGCAACATCCCACTTCAATTGAGATTGTATCAATATCTGGAACCTGAAATAGCTTCAAGAAACCGATAGAAAGTGTTCATCGGTTTATCCTTCACCGCCACTCTTGGCTACACCAAAATAGATGTGAGTCTTCCAGGATCGGGAGCGTGCAGTCGATAGTAACCGTGAAGTCAGGTACTGACATTCTTCTACTGCATTTTAGTTCTGAGCATCGATGTGCTCCCAGAACTTTCATCCCAACATGTGCATTCAACGTTTCCAATATCATCCTTCGGAACGAAAGTTTCGAAATATGGATTGTGGAGATGTCAGATGTGCTCAAGCCGTGTGCGATATATGAAAATGAGGATGTGCAGCAGTCTCAGCTTCAGCTCCACATCGAATGCATAGATCTTACAGTGTAGGAGGAGGACTTCTCTCAGAACGTCATAGGTTGTACAAAGGGCGATCGGTCCACGCACCCGCCACATGACCATTTTCGCAGACATACGCTCGAATCACAGGTTCACCATCTTCATAATATTCAAAAGAACGGCATAAGCAGAAACTGGTCACGATGTCAAATGTCTTCTGTGAAGCACAGAAAGCACAGGAAAGGTCCGTGTGCCTGCATCCCTGATCCTTGAGATTTCTCCACACGTGAGACTGCTTGAAGTTCTTGAAAATGCCTCGAAAAAGTTTGTAAACTCGTTTCTCTCCCTGATGACAGCATCCTGGCCAATCGCAGATGAATAGGCTATCCTCTCGAAACCTGCCTAAATATCTCACATCTCTCAATTACAGTTTACCAGACAGCATACGCAAATAACGCTTCCACAACAGGTGGGAATGGTGAGTGGAGTACTGGAACACTCAAGATTCAAAACAAATCGGACGATGAAGCCCTTGGGTTAACCGTTGTGTCGCAGTGCAATCAAGCAGTTGGCAGGCTACATTCATTGATCAGTTATGTAAAACCCGACTCCTGCTCAAATGTCATAAAAGACTCGAATAACTGCTAAGAAATCACATTACGCAAGTTCGATGTGGCTCCCTTCATCAAACTAAGTAAGACAGCATCGCTTGTATAATACAAATCAATGGTCGCAAATAGTGATTATCCTAAAGCGAAGAACAAAGTCTGACAGGTTCGAGTTTGCTGAAAGTGCTCATCCGAAACCCTTCTAGAAGAAATAATCAAACATCAAACCTTTAATCTTACTCGATGAAATCTCACTAAGAAAAGTAGCTCTGAGCACTTCAGAATTTCTACGACATTACAGTGAAATGGGAAAAATTCAAAATTAAAATATAAATGACCTGCTTGCCAGCAACTTGTTGCCCTGTTCGCGCGTCAGACTCCAAGAACCTTTCGCAAGATGCGCTCCTTTGTTATTCGCGTAACAATAAACCTCACTTTTCCCGTGTGTTTCCTCAAGCACATTATGAACTGGTGGTCCGTGACATGCAGGATCGATACGCCGGTAGCTCCAGGCGCACAAATACGTTAATGAAGATATCCTCCGAGATGAGTCTGAAGAAAGGGAATTTTTTAGGATTGATGGGCTGCGGTTGCTTGATAACAGGGCAAGTTGGTGAGGAGGACATCGACCCCCCGGCCATAGTTACACTCTTTCACAAAACACACCTCAACTACGCGGTACGAGAAGCAAAGTGAGCACCAGTGAGGTGCCTCTCGACCGTCTCCAAGGAAAGAACTCGCCCTTTCATGTAGTCCTCGCCCCCGCTATGATGCGCAACAGATGATCAACTCTCCCAATCCCAAAAGCTCGCTGCATCGGCTTCCTCACTCACAGGGCAACGATGTCGTCATAAACCAGCAGCAGCAACTTCAAATGTTCAATCCAGTCATGAGCACCTCCTGAAAACCAAAATCCATCCGCGACTCAGCAAGATTCATTATAGACCAACACGAACGCCACAAACACCACAATCGCATTTCTCCGCGACAAACCACCTGCTCAACAATTTCGCCACACGGTACCGTTCAATAAGTCACGCAACGCATCCATTCACGAATTCAACCACGCGTTTCTCACAACAAATTCATCGCCACTCTCTCACTCTCACTCCCCCCTCCTATCCACATCACAAGCTAAGAACGAACTCTCCGAAAATCCGTTCTCACTAATCCGCGTACTCCTCAACCTCTTCAAAAACTCCGAAGACAATACGAAATCCCCAATCGCACCACACAATCGCTCCTGTCTTTCGCTCTCCTTCTGTTGGTTCTCCCATCATTCCATCGCAATCCTCACAGCACCAATGCCGAAAACACTGAACACCACACGAACAAAACCACGAAGACCAGCGCACTCCGAAGAGCTAAATTGAGAGTCAGAAAAAGTAACGGGGAGGAAAAGCAGTGAAGTGAAGACGACGCCGCAGCAGGTTAGTTGGAGGGAGGGAGGGAGGAAGAGAGGGCTCTCTCTGGTGTTGCTTGGTTTGGCTTCAAGCTTGGCTTTCCGGTGATGGAGACCAGGGCGGGTGAGGCGTAGCAGCAGTTGCACACACACTCTCTCTCACACACACACTCTCTCTCTCACACACACACACAATCCAAAGCTGGCCCACAATGGACAAGTAGAAGAAACGAACAAACAAATCCAAAAAAACCCATTCAAAACCAAACAAAACCAAACTTACACACGAACGAACAAACTAACTAACTCACACACTGGTGAGTCCGTTACTTACTAGTAAGTTAGTGAGTAAGTAAGTAGTGAGTCACCACAATGGGGCACCATTATTTTTGCGTTTCTCTTCGATGGAGACCATTTCTCTCTCTCTCTTTGGATGTTCCTCATTCATTCATTCTCCAAAGTCATCTTCATCCATGGAACATAATAATAAATAATAATAATAATTAAGAGAGAGGTCCTAGTCTTACATAATTCATCCTTTTTTAATGTGTATGTCGTTATATGTTGTTGCCACAAGATAATAATATAAGGTTTTTGTTTCTACTTTCTAAGGTGGGAGTAATAATAGCTCTATCTTTGGACTAGGTTGTATTCTCTACTATATTTGATATTTCAGAATGAGATTATTTAATTGGGATTTTGTTCTTGAAAATTTTGGATATCTTAGTGGAATGTTTGTTGAGAAATGAATAAATGAAAAAAAAAAAAAAAAAAAAAAAAAAAAAAAATCTCTAGTGCATGATCACAATTGATCATTTTAAATGTATGATTGATTTTTTAGAACTAAATTTTAGGATTTTTAGGATATTTATTTTGAAAAATAAAGAAAAAAAATATACATTCAATTGTGTATATTTTGGATAAACCAATGATATTTTAAATACTTTTTTAATTTTATAAAGAGATGTATAATCCTTATAAGAAAGTAAAGGCTAGTGTACTTAATATTGTAATTGTGGATTATGAACATAAAACAATTGAACATTAAAAATATATTTTTAAAAATAAAATTATAATAAATTTAAAATAAAATAAATTAGATAATAATTTAACACTTAGAAATTAATAAAATATATTACATTTATAAATTATGACTGAATATAATTAAATACTAGTACAAATTTTTAGAAGAATGTTAAAAAGATCCAAACTTTTATTAAATTGACCCACCTATAATAAAGAATATGGTAATCATGATGAATGTGATAAGTTTTCATTGGTAGTGGATCTAGTAGTGGAAAAATGAATTTAGGGGTTATTTTTGTTTTTCATGATGGTTAAGATAAGTAGGGTGATTTAGTAAAAGCTTAAATCTGTTTAATATTCTTTTTTTTATTATGTTTTAAAATAAATTTTATATTATATTTTTGATCATTTTTAATATTTTAATATTTATTAGTTGAATTCAAAAGAGGCATTTTGAGATTAACATTATCTATGTTCAAAAAGATAAAATGCTATTATATATATATTACTTACTTACTTACTAAAATTTTAATCTTTTATTATAGTTAATTTAGTAATAAAAATGCATAGATCAACTAATTTAGAAGATTAGTTAAACTTTTCATTAATTTTTTTACAAATAAATCATAAAAATATTATGAATTTCATGAATGTTATAATTCATAAAAATCACAAATCATAAAAATTCAGCCTTTAGATCTCAAATAAGATAAATACTTATATTCAAATATGACATCAATATCAAAAATAATATTGATGATTAGTATTTTTAATAATTTATCTGAGTAATTCAATTTCTAAACCAATAACCAAAAAAAAAAAAAAAAAAAAACATAAATTTAATTAAATAATTTATTAAAAGAATAATTAATTTTTTTATATCTATTAAATATAATGTTTTAGTTAATTGTTTAAGTAGATCAATAATCAATTTTGTATAAATTAAGAATAATAGAAGGCTAAATCAATGAAAGACTAAGGCAATTTTTTTTAACATAATCAGAAGATGTATTAAAGTATTTGACCTCAATCACTTTTAGTACTAATCACTTTAGTTGCATACATTTAAAAACTTACATAAAATTTCAACTACCACAATAATAATCAAATAAAACACAAGGAACAACAAAAATACAATATATAAATGAATACATTCTATAAGACATAAAAAAATGATATCTAATATTGTATAGTTTTATCATCTTTGATGAATCAAAAGTAATCATCTTGTAAGTCAAGTATCACAATTTAGTAGAAAATGGCAATGCTAAAAATATATATAATAATAATTTAAATTTTACTTTATTTAGATATTATAGTTCAACTTGATATTATAATTACAAATTAAATAAAAAAATATTTTATTTTTATTTTTTTATTTAATATATACTCCAAAATTTAAAACTTATGCTAGTTGTAGTTGCAAAAAATTTAGTTATAAAACACATCAAATTCTTATAGCCTTAAAAACTTTTAAAATATAACAAGCATGATTTATACAAAAAATATAGAATTAAAAAACTTTGCAAAGTGACTCTTGGGATTGTATATTAACTTTACAAGCATATTAACAAAATGACATTGTAAATTTGTTGATGAAAAATTTTGGACCATTTATTAGAAAGAATTTATCTACTAAATTGAGGTATATTTGAATCCTTGCAAAAATTCTTAATAATTGTCTCCTTCTTTACTCTTTTCTTAATTATCTTACATTTGATTTGATCTGTTAATTTTAATTTCAACAAATCTTTTATAGATCTAATTGGTATTAAAGTTTTAAATAAAGTTTTCATATTCTCTACAAACCTTTTATTAGTTATTAATATTTAAATTCATCGATTGGTATTTTAATTTTCAAATTTTTATGTAAATAAATTTTTAATTAATATATTCATTTAAGATATTAAATTATGATAATAACATTCTCAGCCTTAAAATTTGTTGAACTACAAACATTGTTAGGAATAATTTAAAAACCATTAATAAGTTTGGTTTTCATAGAATATAGATCTATATAATACTTTATGATATTTGGCTCCTAATTAAATTTTATACTCTTGTTAAATAAATTTTATAAATTTTTTATGGTACTATTAAACTCATAGTCTTAAACCACCTATCAAAATTTAGATGTCAATAGATTTTCCACAAGAAGGTTGTCTTATAATATTACCTTTGCCAGAGTAGTTATTGCAGCCAAAGTAGTTTTTGGCTGCAATAACTTTGCTTGTAGAATATCCAAGCAATATAATCTGGTCTATCATTAAGTATATATATATATATATATATAAGTAGACAACGAATTTACTAAAAGATTTTATTTTTTTAAAGTTGGATTTGTAATTATTTCATCATTTTAAAAAATACATCATTTAATTAATTAAGAATTAAATAGATTCAATTTCTTAATTGCTCATGGACGAATTCCACTTCTATTTGCACAATTGGTTTGATAAAAGTGCACTTTCTTTTCTTTTTTTATTATTTCTATGTAACAATTAAGATTGATTGAAGGTTATTATTATCTACACTCTTTATATAATATTTTTTAGATTGAGTAGAGATAGTTTTAGATTTTTTAAATACAATATATATATATATATATATATATATATATATATATATATATATAATTTATAATTTAATTATTTAATCAAGTTTCAGATCTCTACAATTCTATTATAAATTACAAAAGAAACTTATAATTTTCAAAGAAATAAGCTTTTATTTTATGTTTTCATGTTATATTGAATATTTTTATCTTGTAATATTATCACTTCTATTAACTTATAACATCCCATTGATAAAATATAAAATAAAATTATAAAAGAAATTATTAATTTGATAGAATTTATTTTTTCTTTTAATTTATAGAATCAACAATAGAATTTTCTAAAACAAACATTTTTTAGAACTACTAATAAAATTAAGTAGTTTTTACATAAAATTTTAATTAGAGCATCTATATTTATTATTTATTAAATAAAATAAAATATTTTCTTTAAAAATATTTCAATTAATTTATTATTTACTAAATAAAATCATGTAATTTATAGAATGAACTTGTTAAAAATAATTTCTATTATTTATTATTTTTAATAAAAGATTAATAAAATAAATTATTTTAAGATAATATTTCTATAATAACTAATATGTAACAATGCTCTCTTTTTGTTGTTGTGCTACCATATTATATCAATAGAGCTTTCAATTGCTAATATAAAAATTATAAAAAGTAGAATTGCTATAAACTAGATTGATTATAGCAACAACAACAGAAGAAGGGAAAATCAAATGCATATTATTAACATAGGCTTATAAAATCATACGCTTTAGCCTATCACATTGCATTGGTTTTTGCTATCTAAACATTGTTTTACTAAGACATCTCTTAGTTAGATTTAGTTTCCAAAAAAAATAACATAAATATATGTCATGAGACAATTTATTTTCAATGATTTCTTTTCTTTTCTTTTCTTTTCTTTTTTCAGTATTGCAAATTTCTTGTTAATTATCACATATAGTATATTTTTAATACCTATTATTTTCTCAAAACTTTAAAGTCAACCACTAAAAATGCTCTTACTTTATTTTAATAATAATGTAATACACAAAAATCA